ACTTGCAGGCCCCTTGCTAGTGACTCAAACAGAATGGAACACTATCTCAGTGGCCGAACTGTCGTCGCTAATTCTTTGAGATTATGAATACCAGGCAAAGACTCTTCTGGGAAGCTGTACAATTCTCCTACCGGGTACTTCTGGCACCCACCCACCACTGAACACAGACCGTTCATACAAGTCCAGCGTTTCATAACACACACACACACACACACACACAAGCTGTCCTTAAGAATTTCCAATTACGAGTCTGGATTGTGATCAATTCAAGGGGTGACAAGGGGTTCCCATTATTTAGGTCCAAGCTGGAGGATTGTCTGTCAATCCTGGAGACAGCAGCACTGTCAAAGGGCCTGAAAAGGCGTTCCAGGGAGAAAAGACTTCGATTAAACAAAGAGCTAAATTTAGTTGCTTCCTGAGTATGTTTTCCCAATCAACAGACCTTTTCTAACACTGTTGCCTTCACGCCTCCCCCCCGCACCTCCCCCCCCCCCAGTTGGCACAGAGCACTGCCAAGAGGAATATGAGCAATTAAGAGAATAATGGCTCAGAAATTGTTGACACCACTTAGCATGCCGTCAGCGCTGAAAGCCCGCCGCAGCCAGCTGTCAGATTTCTAGACTCCCAGCCATCTCCCGAATGGGTAGTAAACATACTGTTCTTTTGCTACTCGGGCAAGTAGACAATATGGTATCTGGGATCCTGGAGTACAAATGCTACAGGCTACAGAGATGAGTTACCTAGACCACCCTCCACGACCACTGATGTAAGTCGATCCACTTCTGAGAGAAATACTTCACCATCAGACCGTCTTCCTCTGGGCCAGAGAGATAGTACAGTGGGTAAGGGCACTTGCTTTGTCGGCCGTCAACCTGAGTTCGATCCCCGGCATCACATATGGTCCCCTAAGCACTGCCAGGAATGATCCTTGAGTGCAGAGCCAGGAGTGACTCCTGAGCATCGCTGGGTGTGCCCCCCCCAAATCCCCAAAACTGAACTACCCTCCTCCTCTTACAACTGTATCCTTCTCCCTTTTCAGCCACATTTAGACAAGAAAGATGTGACAGATAAGACTTGTAATAGTCTTTGCCTTTGGGGGCCTCAAGGTACTGACCTCTTATACTAGGTGCTCAAGTAAACCAACAATGACATTTCATGTCCCAGGTTGTCTCCCACATATCCCACATAATTTGCTCTGTTCTGATCCAAGCACTTGAAGAGCAGATCTAACTGGAAACACAATTATCTATGTTCTGGGTATCTGCAGAAAAACCTACGTTGAAGCCTGTCTTGGAGCTGGAACAGACATACATGCCAGCAAAATCTGTAGGCAAAACCAGGAAATAGCTCAAAGGCTTGGAGCAACTCCTGGTATGAATAGAGCATCAGGGCCAAACCCTGGTATAGGTACCAGAGACTGCCCCCCTCAGTACCACTGGGCCAAAGCAGCTCAGCATCGTGGGCCCTGAAACTGTATGGTCCTTTTTTTTTTTTGCCCTTTGGGTCACACCCAGCAAGACTCAGGGGTTACTTACTGGCACTGCACTCAGGAATTACTCCTGGCGATGCTCAAGGGACTATATGGGATGCTGGAATCGAACCTGGGTTGGAAGCGTGCAAGGCAAATGCCCTACCTGCTGTGCTATCGCTCCAGCCTCTGTATGGCCCATTTTTACCAAGCTGTGTAATACTAGAAGTGGTCCCCAGGGCCCACGCCACTGCTAGGAAGGACCCTCCCCCCAACTCCAACAATTTTTCTATAAGCTCCTTTGCAAGATAATTGCTTGCACTACTTTCAGCATACGTCCTAACAAAAGGGCTTCATTTTCACACCTTATCATGGCTGAAAAGAGAAAAGACAGATGACGTGAAGGAACACGGCCCTCCTCACCCAGTAATACAGCAGTGCAATACAACTGGTTGTTACCGCCCACAAGCTACCATGGTCTGTAGCAGAAGTTTCCTAAGATGGGCTGGCGATAGCTCAAAGACCTGGTGTTCACACTCTGCCCTGAGTTCAAGCTCTGCATGTCTCTCCCACAACACAAGCAAGGACCCAAGCACTGAATCCTCAGGCTCACTATCGGACCCACCGGGCCAACTATCGCCAGGAATGACCCCTGGGCCCGAGGAGTGCTGCAGAGAAATGTCTCCTCCTACTACTACCAAATCACAAAATCAAGTCCTCAAAAAATACAGTTCACACAGCCAGAATTCTTTTTTCTCATGGATGTCAGAATGGAGGGACCCTCTGTGCAACCGAGAACCCGTCTTCTATAGAAATTCCACGCCACTTTGTTTTTCCCCCGTGTTTTCTTTTTTCTGTTTTGTTTTGGGTCACATCTAGTGATGCTCAGAGGTTACTCCTGACTCTGTGCTCAGGAATCACTCCTGGGATACTCAGGGGACCATACAGAATGCCAGAGATTGAACTGGGTCAGCTGCACGCAAGGCAAAGGACCTACCCGCTGTGTTATCTCTCCAGCCCCTCTTCCCCTCCCCCGTGTTGAACTACTCCACAATTGCCCCTAAGTTTCTCTACCACCACTAACAAGCAAAGTTTATACTCCCTATGTCCTGAACTTTAACTAGATGCTTATTATACATAATTCCCTCTCCATGTACTAAAATTATTACAAACACACACACACACACACACACTTTAGCGCATGTTTTGTTTTTGCTGGGGGAGGGGTGTCATAACTGGTTATGTTCAGGGTTAACTCCTGGATCTGTGCTCAGGGACCACTGCTGGTGGGGCTCGAGAGACCTTTTGGGATGCCAGGGATTGAATTTGTATCCGTCGTGTACAAGGCAAGCATCTTATCTGCTAGTCCCACTCTTCAGCTCTGAGGCGTATTTGGTGAACATGGGTTTCAAACCTTAGACCAAGGAGCCCAGAAAATAATACTCAGCGAAGGGCAGGGCCAGAGATAAGGCAGAGATACCTCCCCACAGCTGCGTGACCTGCTTTATAGGCCTAAAGTTGAAGAAACGTTCCATTAGCCAAATGACATATTCCAGCACGTCCATGCTTCTTCACAGCCAAAAGAGTCAAGGAACCGATACATGCCACCCATGCATGATTACAAACCGTTTATGGTACTTCCTTCCAGCCCCTCCTCCCCTCCTGCCTCATGTGAGCTACTGTCATGGCAGAACATCAGCAGTTCGACCTCTCCTGGCTTTTCCCACTTAGGACTGCTACAAAACTTTCCCCCTAATTATTAAAAAGTCTTGGTAAAATTTCTGATGGCTGCATATAATCCCTTAGGATTAATATACAATAGTTTACAACTCCCTTGTAGACTTCACACTGACTCATTCACTCAACCAAACACAAAAGGAGCAGGTGCAATACACAGTGACCGACATAACTACCAAGGCACTGCTTTATCTCCGTTATTATGGTGAGCCAATCCCAATGACCAGAGCAAGCACGAGATGAGTACAGCGTAGTAAACTCAGAGATGAGTACAGTATAATTTATCGATCTGTTCTGTTTGAGGGTCACACCAAGAGGTGCTCTGGAGCTACTCTTGGCTCAGTGGCTGACTGGCTCAGTGCTCAGTCCCTACAGTAAGTGAGGAACTATGAGGTGCCAAGGATCAAACCTTCTGCATACAAGTATGCGCTCAGCCCTTTGAGCGCTCTCCAGTCCCTATGGTAATTTACTGAAGCCTTAATAATGTTAGTCAATGGTCTCGATCATCCAATTCCCTTTCTTTTCGATCATGTGGGAGTGGAACCCAGAGCCTTATATATTCTGCACATGCATTCGACTGCCAAGCTACGATCCCAGCAATCCCCAGAAACTGTTTTTCATTCAGCAAACAACTCATAACACAAACCTGAACTACAAGATGTACTGGCAGAACTAAAACCTCATGGGAAGGGGGGCGTTCCGGTCCGTCCTTCACGCCCCACCGAGGTCACCAGTTGCCCCCCACGAGCGGCTCTCCAGCACGGCCACAGCCCCAGAAGCACAAGGACTTAATGCAGAACCCAGCAGCTTGGAGCAGAAAAGTGAACGGACTATGCGTTAATCCAGGCCATCATGTCTGCCCGGAGGCGAAAGGGTGTTGCCCCATTCACCCTCTCTTCTCTAGAAAGAAGGATGGCGGCCACATGGGAGCCTTGTGGACAGCAGGCATGAGCCGGGGGAGTGGGGGCGACTAAAACCTCATGGGAAGGGGGGCGTCTCGGTCCGCCCTTCACGCCCTACCGAGGTCACCAGTTGCCCCCCACGAGCGGCTCTCCGGCACGGCCACGACCCCAGAGCACAGAAACAAATTTCTTAATTATCTGACTTTCAGTAGAAATACTTCCAGGGTTAATAAGTAAAATAGCAGAAATCCAAAACCAACATTTAATTCTTGAACCCAGCCGTAGAAAGCAAATCACTTCACAATGCTTTGTCAGCATGTCTGATTGGGGGGGGGGGGGCGGTAAACTCTAAATAATAGTGGTGAATCTTTTATTGAAACAATGAATCTAATCAAAGCAGATAGAGTGTTAACTAGAATTCATCTGCCCCACAGGGACTGGGAGGGGTGGGGGGTGGGTTTTATTGGTGTTCTTCATGGTAAAAAATAAGTATTGGTAAAGGGAAATGTGTTTGATATTTGCATGACTGAGACCTAAACCTGAAAGCTTTGTAACTTTTCCCACAGTGATTCAATAAATAAATAAATTAAAAAAAAAAAGATGTACTGGCAGAAAATAGGGAAACCAAAGTGAAAACAGATCTGATTAAGTGATACTAAAATAAAGAGCAGACCAGATGCTCCAGATACAGGGTATTAGTGGACAAGTAGGGAAAGTAGCACCCATCTCTATGGTAGGAATATGCCAAACTGGCTACAATTCCCAAGAGAGATTAATGGCAAACTAGCCACCAGGTCACAAACGTGAATTCCGAATGCAAAGTTGCCTCGAAAGGGTGACTCTGCTTCAGGCGTGCAGAGAGGAAGGCAAGCGGGTAGGTCCTGAGCACTCACCTGTGCAGAACTCTTTGCCCACGCTGTGGGGCACGGTAATACGGCGGTACACAATGGGCTCAGATTCTAGGATGTTCTCGTCATGACGGTAGCGAGCAGGCCTTTCATTGGGGACGCCACGTGAGCGGGCGCCGCTTCTCCTCTCGTAGGTGTCGATCTCCTCAAACACCGCTGCCTTGTCGAAAAGGGCCAGGTTCCCTTCAAAATCAAAATCAGTGTCTGGGATCTCCTCGATGTCATCCCCGAAGCACTCGTCATCCTTATTCTTCATTTGGCCGTTCTTTAAGCCACTTTTCTTTGGAGTTGCCTGGTTTGGGTGCCTGCTGCTGGATGACCCTGGACAAGAAGCAGAGGCAAACATCAGCGTGTCTGCAGAAAACCCCAAGCAGCAGCAGAAACAGAGTACATTATCAGTCCTTAGTGGCGGTGTCACAGGAATCAAAATGAAAACTTTGTAAGTAAGCTATGCCTAAATCACATTATCGTACAGAAATACAAGATTTCGTATTATCCAAGAAATATCATGCAGAATATAAGATTTCATATTATCCAAGAAAAGTGGAAATGAAATATAAACGGTACTCATGAAAATCTTTGTCTTGTGTAGGTGAAGCAGAATAATTTCAACGGAAGAAATTTCTCTATGAGGTAAGAGGAAGGAGAGATAACGGGCTTCTCCAGTGTAGTAAAAGCCACTTGCAGAAATCTTAAACCAGTTTTCCCCTCATCAGAAAATTGATAATGGGGGCCAGAGTGACAGTATATCAGTAGGGCATTTGCCCTGCACACGGTATACTCAGGTTTGATCCCCAGCCCCTTATGGTTCCCCAATCACTACCAGGAGTGATAGGAATCCTGAGTGCACAGCCAGGAGTAAGCCCTGAGCATCACCAGGTGTGATCCTAAAGGACGCCCAACCAACAAAAGAAAACCGATAATGACAGAGGCTTTCTGAAAGTCTGAATACCAAAAGTCAAGTAGAAGGACAATACCTCTTCCAACAACTATACCTCATCTATCAATGCTCACAGAATACTGCATCGACTACCTCAATTATTATCAAACAGGCAACCTTCTGATTTGTTTGGTTACAGGTATAAATGCATGAGGGAATTCTGATTTAAACAAGGCATTCCAGACCTTGAGTCAAGATATACAGCTTCCAGTGTAAATTGGTGTTCTGATTAATCAATTTGTTTCTGTTCAATTAGCATGATCTCTTTTCTAATGTTATCACTTCTAGATAAGCAATTCCTGCTCCACCAAATACTAACAAGGACCAAGATCTGACCCCAAGGAAATTACACTAAGATGCACTTCCCCACTGGCGTAGCCACCCACCCTCCACTCTCGGACTCCATCTGGCCAATACTCCCATCAGTCACCTATTCTAGCAGTCTTGGAAGACCCCGAAGACTTCTTGAAACATTCACTCCCAGAGAATTCAGAAGAGAATCTTTCATTGGATTCTCTCCACCGACCACCCTGAAAGAACAGGCAGACCAGATGATGGTTAAACCAAACTGAATCTCTAATATGGTCTAAATAAATGCAGTGAACTTCCCCTTTGAGAGAACGAGCTTCTTGATTAGTAAAAAATATAGAGGTTGCGGGGGCTGGATCGATAGCACAGTGGGTAGGGCATTTACCTTGCACACGGCAGACCCGGGTTCGATTCCCAGCATCCCATATGGTCCCCCGAGCACTGCCAGGAGTAATTCCTGAGTGCATGAGCCAGGATTAACCCCTGTGCACCGCCGGGTATGACCCAAAAAAAAAAAATATATATATATATATACAGAGGTTGGAATGAAAAGCAATCCACCTCATACTATGCTGCTCGTAAACGCCACAATACATCCTCTTCTATCCAAGACTATATGACAGAAAGCTAGGAATTTGTACACATGTATGAGCAAGTGGGCACACGCGCGTGTGTGTATAACTTGTGTAGCTTGTGACTGAACCCAGGGTCTCACACACACAGCATGCATTCTACCACTCGGCCACTTGCCCTGCCTGCTGGTTAAAGGGTTAATCACTATCATGTTATTTATTTTATGCCTGTCAGTCAACTTCATTTCCTTGTAATACTTGTAATACATATAACAGTCATTCCATAGTGTATCCTCAGCAGGGTTTTCCAGCATACAGCAGGCAGGCTGTTCATTAGTATTTGTTTAAAGAATTAACACCAGCATAAGCAATTACAACAACTATTCTAAAAGATGAGAACCATGCAAATATAACTATGCAAATATGGATGGTTCAAGAATTCCTAATACCAAGTGTTAGCATGAAAAAGGACTCTGCTGCCAGTACAAATGAGATGCAAGCCTCTGCGAAAAAACAAACAAGGCCGGGGCAGGAGACGTGCAGGGGAAGGCGCTTGCCTTGCATGCAGTTCAGTCAAGCCTGATTCAATCTCAGGAATTACATGGTTTCCTGAACACCACCAGGAGCAACCCCAACCGTAGCGTTGGGAGTAACCCCAGTAACTCCAAGCACTGCCAAATGTGCCCCCACACCAAATCAAAAGGCTGACCCAAAGAGGAAGAGTTGGCTTAGTGAGCATCAACTGCTCAGGCTCTCCAGTGCTGGAGGCTGCCAGGGAGATCCCAGCCATGCTGGGCAGGGAGAGAGCCAACAGTGCAGGAACAGAACTCAGACTCTTAACCAATGAACTATCCCCCTGGTCCTTCTATAATTTTTATCTGAGTGGTTTGGGGCTACATTCAGTGGTGTCCAAGGCTTACTTCTGGCTCTACACTCAGGCATCAGATGGTAGTGTTGGGTGACCATATTGGTACCAAGGATTAAATCCAAGTTGGCCACATGCCAAGGCAACAGCCTCACCCACCGAATTCTCTCTCCAGCCTCTCCCTACTTTTTAAAAAACAGTAGTAAACACAGCACAAAGCCTACTTTTTTTGCTTTTTGGATCACACCCGGCGATGCACAGGGGTTACTCCTGGCTCTGCACTCAGGAATCACTCCTGGTGGTGCTCGGGGGACCATATGGGATACTGGGAACCGAACCCAGGTCGGCTGCGTGCAAGACAAACGCTCTACCCGCTGTACTATCACTCCAGCCCCAAGCCTACCGTCTTAAATAGTTTTTTTTGGATCCATACCTAGTTGGGCTCAGGTGACGATGTGGTACTGGGGATCAAACAGGTGCTTCCTGCATGCAAAACCATGATCCACACCTTTGAGCGATCTCCCCAGCCACTAGTTAAGCTTTTAGATGCATAGTTCAGTGACATTGATCATATTCACATTGCTATAAAACTATATCCTTTTTTATTTTTTTTATTTGGGGGTTGATTTTGTTTTGGTTTTGGTTTGGGGGCGAAGTATACTAAGGGCTTATTCCTGGCTCTGCGCTCAGGACCACATGGGGTGCAAGGCAAGTGCTTTACCCACTGTACCACTTCTCTAGCCCTAATGTTGTTTGCTTGGGGGCTCTAACCGACAGTGCTCAGGGCTTACTCCTGGCTCTGTGTTCAGGGATCACTCCTGATGGGGATCAAAGCCAGGTTGGCAGCATGCAAGGTAAGTGCCTTACCCGCTGTCCTACCTCTCCAACTGGTCTATCTATCTATCTTCAAAGCATATGAAAATGACTAAGTGGCTTAAAAAGTGGCCTGTAAAGAAATTACACAATGGGGCTGGGGAGACAGCTCAAAGGCCTGGCATGCATTCGGCTCCCAAAATGATCCCCGGCACTGTATGGCTATAGTATCACCAGCCCAACCACCAAAATCATTAGGCCCACATAGCCAGGACAAAACATATTATGAGCAGGTTTCTAGCAGGGCACCACTAGCAGGTCCCCCACAAAAAAAGAAATTAATAAGATAGTGGTTCCAACTTTTTAACACCTACTGATTGGCACTGATTCATAGATTGGCCATTAAAACACATACTGAACACTAATAACATTCAATACTAATTTTTAACTAATAAAAAAAAATGAAGAGAATGGCAGAGCTAACACTTCCCTATTCTAAGTAAACGCCTTTATCATGGGGCACTGAGAGAGCTCAAAGGGCTGGAGCACATGATTTACAGGTAAGAGGTTCAGGCTCAATTCCTGGCACAGCATGGTCCCTCAAATAACCAAGAGTTTTTAAAAACTGAATCAATGAAAAAATAAAGGGCTTTGTTTTGTTTCATTTTTAGCCGGAAGGAGGCTTTGTGGTCTTCCCGGTGGAAATCAGAGAGGCAAGGATGCAAGATGGCACGTTTAACACTCGAACTTGAAAACCCAGTGCTGCTGGGCCAGCACTACTGGGGGCCATCAGAGCTATGCCTGGCGCTGACCAGGGTAGACACATGTAGTCATATATGAAACGCTGGACCTCAAACACTTTCATCCTTTTAAGCTATTCCCCAACCCAAGAATAAAGCTTTTGGAAAAAAAATTTGAGAGCAGGAGAGATGTACAGTCTTGCACGTGACCAACCTGGGTTAAATTCCTGGCATCCCAAATGGTCCCCCAAGCCTGCCAGGAGTGACCCCTGAGCACAGAGCCAGGTGTCAGCTGGGTACAGCTGGGTGTGTCCCAAAACAAACATAAACAAATAAAACGGAGAAGCTTGGAGCTAGTTCAATGGCAAAGTCATGTGTAAGGCTACGGGACCAATCCCAGAACGTCTGTTTGGGATGCTGGCACCACAGCCAAGAGTGTTCAACATACAGCAAGCAAGGGTGCAAGAATGTCAGCCAGTCATTTGACCCCAGGTCACTGTGACAATAAAAGGGAGTGGAAAGAGGGAAAGTAAATAAATGGAATATCACTAAGAAACTTCATCTCAAGTGAAGTCTTAGAATCTGCAAACTAAAGGGGCTGGAGCGATAGTACAGCAGGGAGGGCATTTGCCTTGCACGCAGCTGACCCGGGTTTGATTCCCAGCATCCCATATGGTCCCCCGAGCACCGCGAGGAGTAATTCCTGAGTGCAGAGCCAGGAATAACCCCTGTGCATCGCCGAGTGTGACCCAAAAAGAAAAAAAAAATCTGCAAACTATAGTATTGGGACCAAATTCAGTGTCTATAAACAGATTTTTCATTGGAACACAGTCACATCTGTCACATATGCCAAAGCTGCTTTGTGCTACTAAAGCACAGGTAAGTATTTGAGTATATTTTGGCAGCAACATCTGGCACTTTTTTTCACTATGCTCTAATCATGCCTCTCAGACGTGAATTGTTTCCAGCTGTGAGTGATATTACATTTAACGAATTAACTGAACCTGGGACCAATTCTTTGCCTACCTTTCATTCAAAGCGTCACTATTATCTTACCTCTCCAGGAAGTTCACCCTTCGTGA